ATGTATGTATGTATGTATGTATGTATGTATGTATGTATGTATGTATGTGTGCGTGTGTGTGTGTGTATGTATGTATGTATGTATGTGTGTGTATGTATGTATGTGTGAATGAATCCTATGTGCGTCTGTATATGCTATGTATACGAAAAATGGGGTCGTCTATCTGTTGGGATGTATGTGGTGGTGTGTGCCTGTTTACGTCCCTTGCGCATTTATCGTTCCCATATTTTGTTTTGTTTTGTTTTGTTTTGTTTTAGTTTTTTTTCATTGGCTCTCGTGAACGGTGTTTGTGTGTCCATTGATCGTGTTTGCATCGCCTCTGTGTCTAGTTCTACTGTATAGACCTGCCTCATGAGCAGGGTATGTGTGTCTATCTAATGAGATGTACTTGATATGTGTATGTTCTTTTTGGAAGGGCTTTTTTTTTTGCCTCATGAGCAGGGTATGTGTGTCTTTCTCATGAGATGTATTTGATACGTGTATAATTTTTTTTGTGAAGGGCTTCTTTTTTTAGCGTTTGCCGATCGTGTAGAGAGTTTGTGTGCATCCATCCCTTAGTTTAGGTGTATGTGTCTCCCGCAAGTTGTTCTTTCGGTGTTTAGGGTTATACATCTGTACTCACACTACACCTGACACCTATTACAGGATCATGAAATTTCCACATACATCTGTACTCACACTACACCTGACACCTATTACAGGATCATGAAATATCCACATACAACTGTACTCATACTACACCTGACATCTATTGCAGGATCATGAAATATCCACATACATCTGTACTCACACTGCACCTGACACCTATTCTCAGATGCAAGCGGGACAGTTCACACTACGCGACATGTACGAGCAGTACCAGAACATCATGAAGATGGGCCCCATGAGCAAGATCATGGGCATGATCCCAGGCATGGCTGATATCATGCCGGACGGTGGTGAGGAGATGAGCCAGAAGAGACTGAGGAGGCAGATGACTATCATGGATAGTATGAACAACGCAGAGTTGGATAGTGACGGCAAGGTGTTCTATCGCGAGGTGAGTGGGTATGGGTGTATGTGTTCGCAAGTGAGTGGGTATGGGTGTATTTGTTCGCAGGTGAGTGGGTATGGGTGTATGTGTTCGCAGGGGAGTGGGTATGGGTGTATTTGTTCGCAGGTGAGTGGATATGGGTGTATTTGTTCGCTGGTGTGTGTTATATGTATATATGCATAGATTTACATAAGAATATCTTGGCAAGTTTTGTGTGCAGGCTTTGGTATTTGTTGTTGTATTGAACTCAGAACCACTGATATCTATTTGTATATCCTGGTGTGTTTTGTGTGTGGCATTGTGTGTATTGTATGCAAACCGTGAGGAACGGAGTTGGTTGCGGCTGGGGCGGTATCTGTGGCTTATAGGTAGCTCATAGTAAGAGGACGATACTATCATTTACCGCGAGGTATGTGGCTGTCTGATGATTGGCATCCAGCGGATCTGATACAGATTGTATATGTATGTACTGTTGTGATATACAATAGTTATTCACACATACAAATACTACATATACATATTTTTGAAATTTTTATCTGAATTAGAATGAGTGCTCAATTTTGTGTTCTCAAGCGTGTGGTAAAGCTACGAATTCGAAGTACCTTCGAAGTCGGATAATCATAGATCGCTCTAGAGGCAATCAATTCAGTTGTGCTGAGGTGTTCTATCGCGAAAGACTGGCGGGTAGATGCTATATCTTTCACACGATAAGCCCATATACAAGTATACACACACATGTATATGTATTTATATCATCCCTCATCCTTTCATAGTTCAATTGCACCCCCAATGAGACTCATTTCGCCCCGTTTACATCCAAAATTTATCCGCTTTGTTTCTCAAACAAATCAGAAATCTCAGTACAGTTACAATCCACTCAAATCTCCAGTGGGCGGAATCTAATCCCATATACGCCAATTGTACACAAATTACATCCCAATTCCACCCGATCTGCCTCTGCGTAGGCCAAATAAATGCTTCACCTGGTAGAGGGGACTAGTACCTCTATTCGATGTCATACCCACTCGAGTAGCCCGTAAACCCAACTTAATAACAATCAATTGCCGATGAAAAAGATCTCGAGGTCACCCAAGTAACGTCTCATATTTACTCGGTCCATCCTACTTACGTGCTCACCTATACCTGAAAAGCCCACTCGTATGCTCCGCCTGGCGAAAGGGTCTGGTACTTCAGTCAGTGCGGTGCAGGAGACACTCGACGGCTACAACACGTTTGCTAATATGGTTAAGAAAATGGGGGGTATACAGAATATGATGGGTATGTAGTACGTCAATTGATAGAGATACAAACTTTGGTTTCGAAAATCTGTGGTAGGTTGAGTACTTCTGTCTGCAGGTTTTTTTGCAGAAGGTTGTCTGTGCTATATATATTG